GCGCTACAAATCGCCCAGGTGTGAACCGGGCCTTACTGAGCTACTTTCACCTTAGTTTTCAGCTCTCAAAGAGCACACGGAAGCTGGAGCTCATGCTATTATTTATGAAGCCCACTGGTGGCATTATGCCCTTGTAACACACACTACAAAACGCTCAAACATTAAAAATTCCATTGTTTTCTGTGGGTTTGGTTCACACCTTGCCGTATTTCAGCCCGTCTGAACGCGCTACAAAACGGCCTACGCCTGAAAAGGTACATGAGCTTCTTTGCTGCGTTTTTGTCACGCGTTTCCATTGGGATACAGTCAAGTAGGCCTCGGAAACGCGCGCTTGTCACGTGTTTTTTACCACGAATCGTGCATATACAATACGCCTAGGTGTGAACAGAGCCTAAGACTGAAAGTGGTAGCCGCTGTCAGCTCCCTTTCAGCCAGCATTCTTAGATCAGCTGCTAGAAGGAGCCGATAGGAGAATCTTCATTTGAGCAGAGCCGGCAGCTAATGAGCCGGCGACCACTGCCAGAATACAATGAAGACGTAAGCATTATTGGAGGAATCTGTATTATTTTTTTCATTTAGTCTGTGGGTTGAAAAAAATAGAACAGTGTATTTACATTTGCACTAACAACAAACTTTCTTGGAGAGGTCATGAGCAACAAAAATGTGGAACCCCCTTCCCCAAGTAGTGGTATGGGCTGGGAGAATTGACAAATTAAAAAAATGGATAGATCTCTTCCTTGCAGCACACAATGTACAAGGATATATATAACAAAATGTCACACACTCAAACCGATACACATGCACACATAGGTTGGACTGAATAAAACGGTATCTTTTTCCAACCTTAACTACCATGTAACTATATACAATGTATTTATTTCTCCTAACAGAAAGATACAGTACAGGGGAGTGTTTTAAAACTAGTGATTATTGTGATTGGCTATCACAGTGAACACATGATTGGGAGCCGTTTCTTTTAGTAATGATGGAGTGAACTTCTGAATATATGAAGCAGGGTTACAAAGTCCTGCGTTGGCAGCATGGAATTACAATTTTCCAACCACATTGTAAACATAGATAGTGCTATTCTGCTGAAAAAAGCAGCAAAAACTGTAAAACTAGGGTGAAATTAATATAACAGTGTAATTACTCCTCCTCTTCATATAACCATTCTGTCACGTCTCACAAAGCATCTAAAAATGCTGGACCCCTTTTTTAATTGTCTCACAAGAAATATCCAAGTGACCAATGAACCTTGATTGGGATTTTTTGCATTCTGGATACAAAGGTATAATACTGTATTTATTATCCAGAAACCTCAAATAAAAAAAGGATTAATCTTGTTTCAAAAACCATGTTTTACTGATACGTAAAAGACACTTTTTCTGTATCTGTTTTATAAATAACTTTACTCTTTTGAATCCTTATAAAACCGTGTTAAATAGATGATGTTTAGCTGGTTATTTGCCCCTGTATTCTATTCTTAAATATAATGTTAAAAACACACACTAAGATTGCTGCTTCCATACTATATTATGCTTATTAGACAAATCATAACATCACATCACATACAAGTTTATTATTGTTGGAACATGCCTTTTTAAAAGAAAAACTTTATTTAATGAAATGTATAATTTCTCTGTAAAACAGTTTTATTGATAAAAATATGACTAGAATATGGAAATACGTTCTAAAATGTTGTCATTTACAACAGTTCAAAACAAACATAATTTTTTCTTTCTCTACAAGGTTACAATTTTAAACATGTGTTTATGGTTTTTTTTCTATAATAAGGAGGTGTTAAATTGCTCAACAGACAAACATTTTTTTTTTTATTAGAAGGTCTTATTAATTTTTTTCAGCACATCAGATGCAAATGCAGTCTACAAAAATAGACTTTGTTAGTTGGTGGTATGCACATTGTTGCCCCATATCACCACTACACTCCACTTTTAAGATATATTTTCATGGAATAACTATTTTTACTCTCACTAAGCATGTAACTTTGTAAACCAAAATTCAAAGAAAAAAAAATTATATATATATAATATTATATAAATCATTGAATTTTCATAGTAGTGTACCTAATACTTATGGATTATTGATTTTTTTTAATTTTTACTTCGTTGATATTAAGTGCTGTGTACTTCCTGGAATTGTAAGCAAATAAAGGTTTAAAATATGAAAATAAAATGGTCACTTATGAATCTTTAGTTCTAGAAATATATTTTAAAATATAACATATAACATTTTGATATAAATAATTATGGTTAAATAAAGTGATGATTACAGATATTAAAATTTGGCATATTTGTGCAAATCTAAAACTTTAGTTGAGTTCCATAACTGCAAACTTAAGTTTTTTTTAGTAAATTCAAAGAGAACAACACTTTTATATAGCCAATGAAAATTACTTTAGAAAACAACCTTAATTGTAGCAAGATTTAAAAAAAAAATTGGAAATGCACTCCCTGCCGAATATATTTATAATTACAGTAAAGAAGGGCATGAAAGTGAAATAAAAACACTGTATTATTAATACATTCTTAACTGATTTATACAGAGTGTTATTCACAAAGCTGCCGAAGGATCCAGCCGTAACTTCGGCTGATCCTTCGGCTAGCTTCAGTTATGGGAGCTACTGAACCGAAGGGCTGCTGTACGGGCTATTCACTATAGCCTGTACAGCTCCCGAAGTTGGCAGAGCGGCTCGGTCGAGCCGAAGGCACATGCTTCCGCTCAATTGAGCCGAGGGGAAATACGAAACTGGCTGAACGGCCGGGCATTGGCCGGCTGAAAGCCTGCTACTGACAGCTGGGCGGAGCCAGTCATCATCTCACGGCTGGCTCCGGCCACTTGCATTGACAGATCAGCGGCCCCTGGTTACCAGGTAACTAGGGGACGCTGATCCGTCATTACAATGAGAACTCGGCAGAGCCGCCGTGATATCACGGCGGCTCCACCGAGTTCTCAGTGTGTAATGACAGGTTAGCGTCCCCTAGTTACCTAGTGACCAGGGGACGCTGAACTGTCATGAGAGCTTAGCGGGGCCGGCATTGATATCAAAGCCGGCTCTGCTAAGCTCTCATTGTAATGACAGAACAGCGTCCCTTGGTTACAAAGTAACCAGGGGACGCTGATCTGTCATTACAATGAGATCTTAGTGGAGCCGGCTTTGATATCACCGCCGGCCCCGCTAAGCTCTCATTGTAATGACAGCTGTTCCCGGCCAATAGAAAACAGTTGGGCGGAGCTAGCTGTCACTGCTAGCTCCGTCCAATCCTTTTTTGTTTTTTTTCTACCTTTTTAACTGGTTTTGTATTCTGCTCGGTACCACAAAGGTACTGAGCAGAATAGCCGAGCCGAATAGGCCGAACAGCAGCGAGTATCCTGCCGGAGGTTCGGCTCAGCTGCTCCAGATGTTAGATCGGCTGAGTCGAACTCCTTCTGCACTGCGGGTCGGCCGAACATGCTGAGCATGTTTGGCCGACCCGAAGCCAGCCGCAGCAAGCCGATGTACGGCTGATTTCAGTGGGTGTAAATCAGCCGTACAAGCCTGAAGTGAATAGCTGAACAGCGTTCACTGGATCTCATACTTGGACTGTACACTGTGTAACCATGTAATTCTGATTTGCATTTCAGCACAATTGGTAGAATCTTAGCTTACCTTTTCTAAGTTATAACTTCTAACTAATTGCCAAAACAATTCCAACTCGCAGTGCCAAAAGCTGAAACATTGAAACATGAGATGCCCCATATGTTGATATGATCAAAACAATTTGCTATTCTTCAGTTTAGATTTCTGAAGCTGATGTGAATCAGATTTTGCAGATCTGCATGAATGGCATCAAGCCACAATGATTCATCAGATCCACTATGGTTAGCCCACACAAAAAGCATATATAGAACGTATAGTGACACACGGTTCACATCCGCACTTTCAGATTAATTGATTTATGCACAAATGAACATTTGTTTTGTGAATCATATTTCAATGTTTGGCCTATTTAACAGCATTCTCTTTAGCTGCAACCGGAGTGGTTAGCCTTGGATGTGGCTGTTGCAGAGATTAGCATCTATTATTGTGTATAATAATAGTGGTCTGTTGGTTTTCTTAAGTGCGTGTGTTAAGGGTGACCATACATTGTGCAATATTCACAAGTGTTGCAAAACATTAAGTATAGTGAAACAAAGTTTGGAACTGTAGTTGGAATAAGAGACTGTCCAGAAGGCTAAAGGTACCCTACCTGGCATAATCGTAGATGTGTTGAAATAATTCTGTCTTTTTTTTTCCTTTTTCTTTTCAAGCTTGGTGAGATTAATCTGATAAAATTAACTTTGCAATGGTTTAATCACAACCTCTCAGTAACTTGCCATAGTCAGGAGTTCTAACAATCACTATGTTACAACTTTTTTTTTTAATGACTGAAGTTAAAATTTGTCTGCATAGTTGACTTCTAACTTACAGCTAACATAAATCTATTATGCAGATTTTGGGAACAGATCACCACCAATGGTTAATTTACTGCTTTCTTACGGTGCCCATACACTTTACAACCCTCGCAAGACTTTTGTCTTGGGAGGGTTGTAAATTACTTAAAAAAACGTACGATCTGCCCATCTTAGACAGGCAGATCGTACCTGCGATCATCGCAAGCCCGCCCCCCTGAGGGGTGGGCTTCCGATGACTGCAAAGCTGAACAGGCAGTGTGCACGTGCGCACACCGGCCCGTTCGGCAGTGATCTCTCGATCATGTTAAAAACCAGCCGAAAATCGTACGATTCTTGGCTGGTTTTACAACATGCTCGATCCCGCGATTCTCGTGTGAGAATCGTGCAGTGTATGGGCACCTTTACTCAGCATTTGCTTCTGGAGAACAGCCACATAACCACAGAAGAATGGTCACAGTGATGGTGGATCCTTGCGACAACTGTTATTGACTGTTTGTACACATCTTAACTACACTGATGTTCTAAACCTGACAGTGCACCAGTGTTTTTAAACATTTCCCATTGTCTTTTATGGCACTTTTATCATTACAATTTTGTCAGTGGTTCAAAATAAATACCAGTATTGGCTATATCTCACAGTAGTAACTTTTCACACACATATGGTATGCTGCTAATTTCATTGACTATATATAAGTTTGCTCACACATCTTTTTCCAACTGGAGCATTTCCTAATTTATAGAATATTCACAAAATTCATTTTTGGCATTTTCACAGAACTGTTTGGAAATCTGGAGTTATGGATGTCAACATTTAATGGGTGGAGGCATGTTTCCAACTGTAAAATCAATTTAACCCTATGAATCCTTGTCTACAATATTTAGGAGCGCTTGCAATAAAAGATCATCTCTATGCTTATAGGGTTTGCTATTATAGAATCGGTCAATATAGTCACTGTATAGACTGTTCACCCTGTTCTTTGCATCTGACTGCTTGTTAAGTTTTTCCAGAGCCTGATAATAATGGTTATTGGGAATTTTAGCCTGTTCCTCTGTAAGTAAAGACCCTTCTCTGTCAAAGGCATTCTTTAGAAGACGCAGCATGGCTTCCGATTTCACAGTATCCTCTGTTTCATCATTTTCTGTTGGCTTCTCTGTAGCTAATTTTACATTGGAAGTTTCCTGTAATGATAAAAGACATGGTCAGTGTTCATGCTTTGATGATAACCAACTGATCATTGCAAGATTATGGACTTATGAAAAGCCTCCTTTTAAATAAAAATCTGGAATATGTAGTATAATGGTACTGATGCTCTGAGGACAGGAAGGTTTAAGGTGGAGAGATTTACGAATGTCACTTGTCACTCTAGACGTCAGAGCACCTTTTCATTGTTTAATGAGGGAGAAATGTTTACCTGTGCACGTAGAACACATCTAGTGTAGGTTTACATAAGTGTAGATGAGTGCATGTGCATCTGGGTTAGCAAAGATAAAGTTGTAATATATATAGGATCAGATAATGACATAGCTGTAGTTACAAAAGAAGATGTCTGTAAGAAATTCAACTATAATGATATATTCTGAATTTGATGACTACTTATTAAAAAAGTGGTCATAGAACTTAAAGCTTAAACATGCATGTTAGGGATGTCTGAGCATTGCTTGTTTAGGCTATAATTACACAAGAGGGTTGGAGGATGGTTACATTGGATGAAAAGTGATTTTGAACCCATGTGATTAATCTTTCCCCCAGCGCAATAGGCCAGAGGTTGTCTGCTTGTGCCAAATATATGTGATCAAACAATACTCTTCTCATGTTTGTGGACAGGTTAAGACAGTGGAAATAACGCTAACTCACAAAGTGACCCATAGCAAGCAACAAAGCAGATTTAAGTTTACTTTAGTTAGGTTAGTGAAAGAAAATTTCAGATCTGAATCAACTGGCAACCACACTTTGCACATCATTGACACTCTTTGCACTCTCTAACTTAATAGGAGCACCTTTGTCAATGTAGCAAAAATAAATGATTGCAGAGCACATTATTGTTTATCTACAGGACATGCAGTCTTATTCATTAAGCAAGGGCAATGAACAATGATTATTAGGCATGGGCTCGATGTTCAAGCCAAACGTGAGTTCAACTCGAACATTGGCAGTTCGTGTGTTCGGTGAACACACAAACTGTCAGGGCGCTTGGCGGGCTGTTCACCCGCCAAACTACCCGCAAGGCACTGTGCCTTGTGAGCCCTGATTGGATAAAGCATTGCACCTGATCTGTGGTACTGGGCCCAATCAGGGTCCAGTACTCTGACTTTGCCTAATTATGGCTCACCTGTCAGATGCCGTACAACTGTAGACAGTTGGGTGGAGCTAGCTGTCACTCCTGGCTCTGCCCAATTGTTTATATGTTGCCGGCATCTGTCAAAATGCCATTCTGCTGCAGGTTTTTGTCGCAAGCAGACGGGGTGGTGGTCGTCTTTTAAAAAAAATTATTATTTCTATATACAGTGGTACCTCGGTTGATTAACTTAATTCAATCCACGATTCTGGTCGCAAACCGAATTGGTCGCGAACCGAATCAAACTGTGATCAGACCGCAATCTCGACTAGAGTGAGCCACGGCCATGTGTCAGAGCAGGGAAGATGACTGCGCTTGTGTTCGTCACCCGATGCAGATTTCACGATTCCACAATTTCATTTAACCCTTTAGTGGATGGGTAGGGGTACAAGTAGACCTTAAGGGTCTGGTATGACTTTTGGGGGGAACCCCACGCTTTTTTTAACGTTCCTACCAGAACTAAAGGGTATTGGTATCTGGTATTGGGTATTGTTTGGGAGGGGGAACCGCACGCTTTAATTTTTTTTTAAATGTCATTTTTTTTGTTTACAAATGTAAATTTTGCTGCAGCAGGTTCTATACATTTTACAGATGCGCCACTTTACAGGCAGTTTAAGGGGACCCCCCAGGCACAATATTTTAAAGGAATTTTTCATTTTTATTGTTTCACTTTAAGTGATGTTAAAATCACTGCTCCTTCAAAAATGTTATTTTTTAAAAGTGTTTTTTCATTGATTCTTGTCCCCCAGGGCAGTACCCGAATCCCCATACCCTTTTTATGGCCATTAACTTGCATATAAAGCTTCAAAATGGGGTCAATTGATTTTCAAAGTTCTACCCCATCTACCCCCATTTGAGTTCGAATCCGAACTTTTCCCATGTTGGAAAGTTCGAATTCGAACCGAACAGGGGGCTCATCACTAATGATGATGTCCAAGGTGCATTATCCTATAAGAACATAGGAGAAACAGGATTAAAAACTTTTTTTTTACACCCTGTCTGGGAGTACTGCAGGATTCACAGACATACTTCTTTTTCAGGCTTTAAAGTGACCCTGTTGGCACAGTACATATAGTAGGTTGATCATGTCCAATGAAAAAAGGCATACCATTTGTTATTTTTTCACAAATAACTTTTGCGGTTTTGAGTCATCTCTGACACTTTTGGGAGTAATAACGATTCTCTCCTCCACAACCTACAGCCTTCCCTGTCTGCTTCCACCAAGGCTTTGCCATCTGCATGGGTAGCTTTGCACAAGATTGTGCTTGGGAGGGCATCTTATTTGTCAGTAACAGCCCTGGATTATAAGATTGTAAACAATCCAGTCATGTGACTGCCAGCGTTTGAACGACTGGATTGATTACAATCCTATCATTCAATTATATCCACAGCAAAACCTCACCTCCTTTCTACCAAGTCCCTCCTTTGTAATAGTTGTGTTGTGGTGACAGATGGTCTGCACATTAGTAGAAAGGTTTGTTTTATAGAAATGGGAGACAACACTTCATACATGAACAATAATGTGACTCTGCTATATTCTCTAGACACTCTAGTGAAACATAGGTGTACCATAGTGAGATTACATACCTCTTGAATATTTGTCATCTTCTCGACACCTCTTCGGTCATTCTGAACCACATTATAAGAAGTATACACTCTGGGATGGGTCATGTGGTCTGGGCGGGTAGATGTTCCATGCAGAATCAGCTTCCAGTTAACTATTCTTCCTTCATTTTCTAATCTTTTAGACTGATGAGATGAAAATTGAAAAGTGCATGATTGCATGGAGTGCAAGAACATTCTTTTAAAGATAAAGACTGCAGAAGGTGCTTAAAGGGTGACTGTACTGTAATATATTTAGGGGTAACAAGCAACTTTGCAAATATACAAATGACCCCTGCTTTTTCTGTGTTTTGTGGACTGCTGTGGAACCTAACTGTGTCTGCACTGTAATTGCAGACTGCTGCGTATATGACAGTTCACACTGTACTTCTGGCCCCCCTCGATCATCAGCACCTCAAGCATGATGCAACACCACCCCTGCTGTCAAGTCTCCACCTCTGATTGCACTTGGTCATTCACAACATGCATGGCCAGAGGGAGCTGTACTATCAGAGGCTGTTGTAATGAGTCTTTTATAGCTTTTTTTTTTGCAAATGCAAGATTCACTTACTATACTGCGGAGGTAAACACTTAGATCTCTAAGACTATGAAAATGCTGGATTTAATATAATTGCTGCATCTTGATAGCTCTTTTCTGTTTCTTACCACATCAGTGATTTTGACAGTCCAGGTTCCTGCTGCGTCTTCTCCCCAGGTATGGACAGACATAAAAGCCCAGTTTTTAAAACCATTAGTTGATGTGTCTCTTTCTCTTTCAGTCAAGAGAACTGTCCTGGTTCCTGCATGGAATAACAGTTGTTATTAGTTTTACGCTTGTGTTTAAATATTCATGTATATAAGAACAACATTTATGTGCATACTGATTGACTGCAATTTGCCTAAATGACTGGAAGAAAGGAAAAATTAAACCATCAGATGCCACCTAGAAGTATTTGATCAACCTATGGTGTATGCTAATATCGTCTATTGAATACAAAACAGGAAGAAAAGCCTTTTAAATGAATTTTGTAGAGTCTGTACATACATGTAATATAATGAAAGCAGTAGTGTTAACAATAGTTATTTCCCAGTTAGTTAATTGGAATTTGATATTCCTGAATTTCCGACCAAGCCCATCTACCTGCCTACAGCCTGTTCAATAATAGTGTCCTTAATAGCCAAGTAGATGAGACTATCACTTGCTCAGGGCTCAATCCTGAGGTCAGTAAGGTTATGGTAACAAAGTGAAGCTAAATCAGAGAAGTGTATAGAAGAGGCTTTTCTGGCAATAATAATGGGATCTTTGCACTTTGCAGTGTCTGTTTTTAGGCAGGACTTTTATATAATAATCGGTGATATACCTGATGGAGAAGTTAGTGTAATATGAAGGTCTCCTCGGCGTGTATACTCAATAGTGGCTTCCAGTTGTAAATGTTCCAGAGACTTGATATAATTATCTTGGCCTTCACATGCCTTTGTGGGGATCTCAATTGTAATTTCATCCACCGATCTAAAAAGCCTGTAATTTAAAATACAAGATAAATGAGAGTAGTTAGGGATTAGGTTTCCTGGATGTCCTCTGTCAGGACAGATATTCAATAAACAGATTAAATGGATTAACATTGACTAAATAAATGGTTTCCTTGATGCCATGTTTTCCCTGGCCATGATTGTGCAAAAATCCAGGACAGGAACAAGAGATTGTGCTCTTTCTTTTTCCACGCTGACCATGACATGCCCATCAGTGATTGGGCATGGAAAATTACAAGGAGGGGAATTTATCAAAGCTGGAGCAGGCATAATCTGGAGCAGCTGTGCACTGCAACCAATCAGCTTCTCTCTTTTATTTTCAAATCTTAACTGAACAAACTGAAGATAGAAGCTAATTGGTTGCCATGGGCAACTGCTCCAGATTTTGTCTGCTCCAGTTTTGATAAATTCCCCCCATATGTTTTGCTTTTCTCGTTTTTTAGGGGTTTTTTGTTACAGGATTTTGGAAAATACATTAATTCTTTAGATGGAATAGTGGTTAAAAATGTCTCCTCTCTGTATTGGTGACCTGAAATGTATACTTCATTAACAAGTGGTTTCCTGTATTTTGATATGCACATAGCAGGTAAACTGTATTCGACTGATTCTTGCAGTGGGTTACTGGACTTGTTACGCTTTTCTTTACCTTAGTAAATAATAGACATGCAACACCGCAAACAAATTGTTTTGTTTCAGATCCATTTGGATTTTTATTTCTTTTGTGTTTTGGATCCAAAATCTGATTTGGTTCGTTATTCGGATTTCGTATCCGTCTGAATTTTCATTTCGGAACGAAGTCACGTGACCGTGCCTGTAATGCAACTCCCAAAAGGCCAAAAAATTCTGATTGGCCAGAGAACAGTCACATGTCCGAATTAGTTTAGTTCTGAACGAAATTGAAAGGGATCCAAATTTTCGTTAAATAAGCATTCAGATTTGTTTGGACGCATTAGAAGTTGGATGCATCCGAATGTCCAAATTTAAAGAAATTCGTATGAATATCCATTTGGAACAAAACAAAATTTACATGTCTAATAAATTATGCCTATAAGGAGTGTGCTGCAACTGTAGGCGTACATAAGGTACATAGCAGGATCATCCTTTCTTGCATCGTAGGCATGCTAGACAAAGCATCTGATCTTTGAGGTGAAGGTAAAGATCCTGATATTTAACTGTATTTTTTCTTTGAACATATACTTATTTGCATTTTTGTGGATTTGGTTTAGGATTTTTGTTAACAAGGCAAGAGCTACTTTTCATACACCTAGGTAGATCCAATCCATCGAGTTGTTAAGGGATAATTTAAAGATATGCTGCAAGGACAAATGGTGTGCAGTAACGCAAAACAACCAACAAAAATCATCATGAGCCTGAAGACAGAAGACTCCTAGGAGCTGATTACTGAGATTACAGCACATCATAACAAGGCAGATGCGCCATGTATGTGTCAGGTCTTACAAACTACACTTACATGACTGAGAGCTTTCTCTGACAGATGTCAGTGACCCTTTACTATTCCTAGTAATAAAATGTTGTGGCTACTGTAAAAGCTGCATTACCATAACTAAGGGGTAGCATAATAGGTGGCATTCCTACATCCTCACCATGGTAACCCTAGTTTGTAACCTGACCCTAATGTAATTAAATTAGCCCCTTAGGCACAAGGATTAATCCCTTATATCATAAAATATTTACAGTTTGCCAAGTAATATGTACTGTATGTACCCTCACACAAGAGGACCAGCATTCCTCAAGCAGAGGTTATCATGCACATGCAGTGTACGTTAATGCTACAACAAAGAACACAAACTGCACAGAGATAGTCCCTTTGGCTGCTGAAGTGCACTGTAGGGCTATCCTGTGCCACATGGATGCCACATAAATTGTCATGCGTCACTTGGCAACTAACTGAAAGAAGGTGAAACAAGGACATACTGCGTGTGCAAATCTACATTAGAGCACTCATTGTCTAAAATGCAGTAGCTTGATTTTCTTATGTATAACTGGATTGTCATTGTGGGGCTTATATCAGTAATTGGCTTTAAGTGATACAAGTGTTATATCCTGTAATAATGTTAAAACTGTAACTGTCATTATTAATAAGACAGAGAGCAATAAAACCCATGGCACCCAAGGCATTGCTAATACAAGTCGAGGTCTGATTAGTCTTCTCTGGCTGGCCATTTACAGACGCATCTGTCACATCCTAGATCTCAGTCTGTAAAACTGAGATAGTGCATTTGGACCTGCCCAGAACTAACAAGTGAATCAGGGGATGGCAAAGTCCCTCATTGCTAGTTCTCCTGGATCACTAGGGACAGCAGGTTTGAAGATTTGTCCCTAGAAACGTGCCTGTTTTTCAGACCAATTGGACTCATATTTTATTATCATTATCAGCTTTTAGCACAACATTTTTCATTGTAGAGGCCAATGCTCTACCCTAGCTACCCACTTACTCCAACTCTCCCTGTAACCCTAATATTATTCTTCACACTAACACTCCCTGTAATCCTAATTTTATTCCTCACACTAACATTCCCTGTAACCCTAATATTATTCTTCACACTAACACTCCCTGTAATCCTAATATTATTCCTCACACTAACATTCCCTGTAATCCTAATATTATTCCTCACACTAACAGTCCCTGTGACCCTAATATTATTCCTCACACTAACACTCCTTTGTAATCCTAATATTATTCCTCACACTAACACTCCCTGTAATCCTAATATTATTCCTCACACTAACACTCCTTTGTAATCCTAATATTATTCCTCACACTAACACTCCCTGTAATCCTAATATTATTCCTCACACTAACACTCCTTTGTAATCCTAATATTATTCTTCACACTAACACTCCCTGTAATCCTAATTTTATTCCTCACACTAACATTCCCTGTAACCCTAATATTATTCTTCACACTAACACTCCCTGTAATCCTAATATTATTCCTCACACTAACATTCCCTGTAATCCTAATATTATTCCTCACACTAACAGTCCCTGTGACCCTAATATTATTCCTCACACTAACACTCCTTTGTAATCCTAATATTATTCCTCACACTAACACTCCCTGTAATCCTAATATTATTCCTCACACTAACACTCCCTGTAACCCTAATATTATTCCTCACACTAACACTCCCTGTGATCCTAATATTATTCCTCACACTAACCCTCCCTGTGACCCTAATATTATTCCTCACACTAACACTCCCTGTAACCCTAATATTATTCTTCACACTAACGCTCCCTGTAACCCTAGTATTAATCCTCACACTAACACTCCCTGTAACCCTAATATTAATCCTCACACTAACACTTCCTGTAACCCTAATATTATTCCTCACACTAACACTCCCTGTAACCCTAATATTATTCTTTACACTAACACTCCCTGTAACCCTAATGCTAAGCCTTACACTAACTCCCTGTAACCCTAAACTTGGTTCTTACCTTAACACTCTCTGTAAATCTAATATTAACCCTCAATATCACTTCCTGTAACCTTACTGCCAAGTTTTATGCTAACAATCTGTGAAACCCTTACACTATAACCCTAACACATATCCTTCCTATGACCCCAATCCTAGTACTAACCTAACCTTAAGGTCTCGTTCACACCTAGGCGTATTGCATATGCGCGTCTGTCGCGCGACCGCCGCACGTGTTTTTTACCGCGATTCGCTCCCGAAGGCTACTTGGCTGTATCCCAATGGAAACGCGCAACAAAGCGACCCAAAGTAGTACATGTACCTTTTCAGGCGTGGGCCGTTTTGTAGCGCGTTAGGGACGGGCGGAAATACGCCAAGGTGGGAACGAGACCATAATACAATGGGATTTATATTTTTGAGCGTTTTGTAGAGCGTTCGTCGAGCGTAGAACGCGCTACAAAACGTTCAGGTGTGAACGAGGGCTAAATGAAAGTGGTCCATTGTTTGCAGAAACACTTCTGTACACAGGAGTAACGCCTCCTGCTTCAAAAGATACCATTGTCGGTATGCCATCCCTAATATATACGTTTTCATTACTTTCAGTGTGCTAGTATTAACTTTAATAGTGTTTAAAAAAAAAAAGCAGATGATGCAAAATATACTAAGTAATACAAAGGTATTTTTAATACAAAGGTATCTTTTGACCCTTTCAACAGTATGTTGTATGCATGGTTTGGGTCCCCAGCTCAGCTCTAAGTGTCCCTGGAAACAGTTTAAAAATCTTGAAAACTAGTACTGTTGGAATTGGAGGTTTCGACAGAGTTATTGTTACATTTTGTACAGTATTTAATCTCTAGAGAAGCTTCTGAATATATTCGCTGAGTGTCAGCTACTTCTATTTAGGACCAGTTCCCTAATGACATGTTGTCAGTTTCTGCTGCATTTAATTTACCGTGACATGAAATTATGGCAGTGTTAACACAAATAGCATTTAGTTAATTACATTTGTTCAACTCATAATGTACACGTCTATTTTTATATCTTTATTTATTTTCAGAATTATAGCTTTGGAACATATTCAGATGAATTTGTGAATGAGCCTAAATTATTATTTTTTTCTGCTTTGTAGTGACATAAATCCTGCCAAAAAAATCTGAGCAAAAATAATAGTCACCAGAATATAATTATGCAAGAAGGTAGTCTAGGATGAAAATGTGCATAATCGCATGGTATGCACAAAATGACCTGACTGATTTAATTTGTTTAACCTATTTTAATGTTTTATGTACTAACTTGAAAAAAGCAAGCTGTACATGAAACTGGCTTTATGTAAAAATCCATCTGAAATAAACTGTGGGAGGGATAATGTGGCTGGATAGGATAATTTAACTCCTCTCCTGCCATGTAGAATATACCTACCTTACCATTATAGAGCGCACTTCCTTGACCTGTCTTCCCTATGCACTCTTTTCCTGCACATACTGCCAACTGTAATACCCTACACACTCCTCTTCTACACATAATATTCCTTCTTAAACCCTCTGAACTCTTCCATTGTAACATACTGCCCACTGAAGTTGTTCCTACAATGCTGGACTCCCAGACTGGTAGGTCATCCACCCAGGATTCCATCTGGCTATGCCATGACGTGGAATACATCAATGGCTAGGGGGAAAATCCTGTCCTGTGCAATACTGCCATTTCTATCCTGACACCTGTTGGTGTCTCGGAACCTGTATCCAGGTGGGGGACTCTGCATTTGTGAATTCTGCCCCCCCAGGTGCAACAACAACTTGCACAGATTTGTCTCTAGGTACAGAAATCTTTTGGTAGTAGCAGTGTATGCTCAAGTAGCTCCATGGGATCAGTACAGCTTGATCTACTATGCTGACATACTTCGCATGGTGCAAGGAAAGGAGATATCACCTCTAAAAATGCCCCATGGGATGAATCCTGACCCTGTGCAATCAGATTGGAATTAACATTTGGCCCTGAGTACCATCAAAAGATTAATTTAGGTGCTGGAGATCATATCCAAGCTTGCTAGCCTCCCCTTCCTTTTGTTAGGCTTGTGCAGGGTGCCTCTCCTGTAGCTCCCCCTATACTATCTCCTGGGACTCCACTGGGTTTGAGCTTGGTTTTGTTGCACTTCCGCAGCCACCTTTGGAACCTGTCAAGAATATTCCTCTGTGCCTTGCATACAAGGCTGTCTTTCCTGTTGCCATAAGCTCTGTGTGGCATATTTTTCTTGGTTAGGGGGGGTCATTAAATAGGGGTGGTCCCGTATCCCATTTGCAACTCATGAGTTTTACCGGCAGCATGTTCTGTTCCTGCCTTAGGAGAGATCTTTAGTTTTTTTACCACCCCTCAGTAGCCACTGCTTTGGGACATTCCAATGGTCATAGATTGAAGATCTCTGCTTGTCCTTTCATGAACAAAAGACAAAATATGATTTTTTTTTTACTCACCATAAAATCCTTTTCTCTGTGATCATTGAAGGACACAACACCCAACCTTTGGTTCTGTGACTAGTTTTTGCTCTGTGTACTGCTTTGTGACTAACTGAGCTGTCTCTAGCAGTTGGAAGTTTGGCCACATTAGGAGTCAAACCCCCCCCCCATGTCAATGGTCAGAGATTCGAGATCTCTGCTGTGTCCTTCGATGAATGCTGAGAAAAATTCAGTGAGTAATTTAAAAAAAACAAACATTTGGATAGAGTAGGGAACGGGTGAAACACCTGTCAGATTTGTTTGCTATCCATGTGTCCCAGTGTGGCCAGAATAAATGTCTCTATTAGAAGTTTTCCCTTCTATTCCTGTTCTGGTGACAACTCAACTGTGCAAATCTCTAGTGGGGACACAGGCAGCAATAAAAAGCTACAAAAGGATCTAAACCCTCGCTACTTTATACAAAACTAAAAGAAAAAGTTTGGGCTTTTTGTACACTGTGTATAACAATTGGTGCTTGAAACAATAACCCGTTTGCAACATAGAATTATTCTTGTAATAGCATCTGACTAGTTGATTTGCAGTAGCGAAGCACATTTAATCCAATACATTCTTTTTTTTTGTAAACTGCACACTTTCTTGCACTTTGATCCAAATTTCCATGATAATACAACAAAGTCTTGCCCAAGTGTGTGTGGCTGCAATTCTTTCTTGTTCAGTCTTGGCATGGGGCTCTTACCTGGGTTCAAAGTCACTGTCTTTAACAATGCAGATTTTCTTCTCTGGCACAGATTTAAATCTTTTAGGATCAGCTAAATCCACAAGGGCCTTAGCATTCAGTAGTCCAAATCCAAAGCGACTATTGACCATAAGACCCGCTCCGTTCTTCTTCCAGCCAGGATTATTAGCTAGAGGGTCGTACTCACTTGTCCAGACAACCAGGTGTTGCATATCTCTCCATGTAAGATTAGGACTATTAAAAAAACATTAATAGAAATTAGGGTCTTTATAGTTTCTAAAGATTTTGCAAATGGCATAAAACTTGTAATAATAATAGTAATAATAATATTTAAATAATAATAATAACAACAACTGTGTAATTTTACTTTAACTTTGTTAAATTCAATTTTTCTCTCGGCTATAGCCCATAGGAGATAAAACAATCCATACATTTCAATTAATCCAGCAGATAGAGCAATTTAGAGCAGGTGTGCCAAGATCTCACACAAAGAGTCCCCAAGATATATACATGATACTCTCTGATGAAACATTTAAGTGATTTCCCTCTTCAGCATCTACCAAGAGCTGAAGCAGTTTTGGGTGAACTGACCCTTTAATCAATACCCAACCAAAATCTGTATTTGTTTACATTGCCTTTAATGATTCATTTTATAATTGGTTAAAAAGAAAATATATTTTTCCTCTATTTACACTAGACATTGAGAAAGTGAAATCCTTACTTTTGTTCCAGAGCAAGAGCGAAGATGCCAGCAGCCAATGGAGCGGAGGCAGAGGTGCCAGTATGTGTTTCTGTGCAGTCGTTATGTAGATCAGCACTTATCTAAATATTGATAGATACGCATGAATGTGATATGCGCAGGTAAAACAAAATGCAATATTTTTTATTTATCATATCTATTTAAACAATATTATAAGTTCCATAAAAAAAGCAGCTTTCTCTACTACATTCAGAACACATTTTATTAAGGTGAGCGGGCAATACTAGCTGCAATCATTCACTGAAAATATAAACACTGCATGGACTCCCTTAAGGCTACCATTAGCAAAATGGCCTCCTGACCTATCAAAATGTTTGCATCTGTCGTAGAGGTCACTGCCCCAACTCTTTTTGTCTGCTAGCTGCAGAGAAGGACTACATACATGAGGGACTGAGGCTCTCATTTGCTGTCTCTGCCTAAATAGCCAATCAGAGCCTTTGCCTAAAACAGATTTGATAGCTTTTGAGGACTGACAGAAGACAAAGTTATGCAGTGGCCACTTGGACTGGGGCTTCTAATCCAGAACTGAGCAGAGGTTGGGGCTATTGTTGTAATGACAGCCTCAAGTGATCCACTGGGCCTAAAGTCTATCTGAGTTTAGGTACATTTTAAGAAGCAAGCTGTGAATATACTGTATATCTGGATAAGTTAAAATATGAAACATAAAAGTAGCATTTGTGTATACTTACAATCCTCTGATCAGTGTAGTCTCCACTGCTGTATGCTGTGGCTAATGTGGAGGAACATTTCTCTGCATACCAGGGAGATAGTCCTTGCTGTGACGCACTGCTGATTGAGATGGTGTAAATACTGTCTGTGTATCCATCACAGTCACAGTTATCTCCCTGTCTGCCACCATTACCCGAAGCCCACACATAAATCGAGCCTTTTCCATTTCGGCCCTTTGGAAATAAAAAAAAAATAGCTAAGTCATTAAGGGCCTACATATGATATCTATAGGTAAACATATTCCATTTTGTAATACAGCAGCACTATATGTTCAAGTTTCATAGCAGTATCTCGATTATTGATGGGATGATTTGTCTAGTTTTCCTTTTGTACACTTTACATGTTGCTAAACAGTAGTCAGTAGCCGTATGTTAAAGATCTCTTATGTTAAAGTCACAGTCCATTGGATATTATATAGTAATGTACATTCCAACAACATAGTATACAATATATACTATGTTCATATAGTCTACCCAACTATAAATGTGATGATACATTCTCCTTCTTGTTACCTTGGGAGCTTTGCAATAGAAAAGAACCAGACATGCCGCGTGTCCTGGGGCCGTGCGATCGTGTGCTAGTGCACACAGCGGTTGCATCACGGCCCAATTGATTTCAATGGGGTGACATCTGCGCCTGCAATCGCTAAAAAAAAGGTACATGTACCTTTTTTTTGCCACAGATGACACGTGATTTTTTTAGCCGCGATCGTGTTCACCTGCATGGGCGGAATCGCGCTGGGAAATCACGAAACCCAACTAAAAAACAATGGCACACACAGCGCGATCGCCTGAAGTTGGCGACTCCGTGACCACGCGCCAATCCGCACAGTGTTGGGCACGATTGCCTCGCGCTCAGGAGTCACCCAAGTGTGAACCTAGCCTTAAAGCAGCTGTATTATTCCAAAATGTGGATAAAAGTGTTACATGTTTCTGCTTCAACTATGGTACTTCCAGTTATAAAATGACGTTTCTAAAGATAGACACTCATTTAAGTACTGACTAGTAAAAATAAAATATTATGGTATCATTTAACACAGAAATAACATAGCTCTCGAGGTCAGTCTGTTGGTTCAATATCCCAGGCATGAAATTTTTTTTAGACGCTTTTTTCCAATAGATTTTAGTTTTCTAAGATGACATTTCCTTCTCTATGCAGGCTGCTGTATTAGGAAAATCCACAGGTGCAGGTTATGTAACATTCTGAAGAACAAAGCGTATTGATTCAAGTGTGATACATAAAAGATGACCCATCTGGCCAAATGCTTGTATCTTGTTTACTCCTTGATGACCTACTCTCTTGCCCTCTTCCTCCGTGCCCATGGCTCTTTGTCTGATCTTTCCATTTATGTTATGGCCTGTAATGACATTTCAAGAGTTTCTTCTATACGCAGTCACTTTTTGTTTCTTTTATTTGTTGAACTCTCTGCAAATCTTATTTTGTTTGTGAATGATCAAACTAGATGTTTCAAGGACTGCTACACATATATACTGTACCTTTTATCCTGAGAAGTACTGAGCAGACTTATAGTGCTTTTTGTGATGTTTGTAGACAATACAAATCTTAAAGCTGATCTTTTCACTATATATGCAAGGTTCATTTATTTATTTTACCCCCCTCCATTCTAAAAATCTACAATAAATAAATAAAAACCTTTCCCCCAGCTTTTTCACACAGTACCTAGGTGAGGGTGATATACACTGAGTGGCCAGATTATTATGACCACCTGACGTTTGTAGGCAAATTAGCTATAATTAGCTAGAGGGCCAGACCATTATAAATAGGGAAGCAGGTTGTTTACCACGACAGTAGAAGTGTTTTTTTCCTGAAGATATGGGTAAACAACGCAATTTAACAGCCTTTGAACGTGGGATGATTGTTGGCGCTCGGAGCCATGGAGCGAGTATCAGCAAAACAGCAGAATTTGTTAAATGTTCAAGAGCAGCTGTTGTTAAAGTGTTTAAAGACTGGACTGTCAGCCGAAAATCTGGGTCTGAACGTGCGAATTGTGGCCGTCAGTGACTAGTCAATGTTAGGGCAGAACGGAGAGTGGCAAGACTGGTACAAGACAACAGAAGGGCAACAGTGCAGTGTCAGATTCCTCGCATCACCTTTCGACATCTCGTGGCGTCACGAGGCGGCCCAACAAAGTAATCTCGTGGCCCAACAAAGTACTGATGGGGTGGTAATAATAATCTGGCCACTCAGTGCATATATTGCCCCTTTAACCCGCTCTAATGGTCGTACATCCAAATTGAAATTACTTATGTCCCTCCAACATTAGCAGCTTTATTATTGAGGATGCTATTACTATTTATAGATTGCATTTTTAAGCCCAGGACATCTTCCTACGCCTGTGGTTTCTGTGTTTCTGCCACCCCTCCTGCGGTCCCCCTGGGGGAGTCGACATCAGGACTGGTCCTCCATCTTCATGTGCCTTCAGAGTGTCACATCTACATTTCCTCTGGTCATATTGGTTCACAGTAAGCTATCATTGTTTGAAATATTTAAACACATTTTAATGTATTGTTAATTAGATATAGTCAATATGATTTATTAATTTGCAATATTACAGCTTACTGGAATCCCCTCTTGAGGAAGCCATAATCAGATGAAACGCATCGAGAAAGTTACATTGTGTTGATAATAGTATTACTTCGGCATGAGAACGGTATGACCACTATAGTTTTGTGAACCTAACGATATGATGGACCTCATGTAGGCTTGATGGGCCAAATTTTAATTTTATGAGTGTTTTATATTTTTTTAATTGATGTTAAAAAAGTTTTGTTATTTTAATTGAAGGTCTCTTTTATTGACTTAAAGGCCCCTCCCTTTTTCTTTTTCCCCCAGAGTTATTACTGATGTTTCTTGTTATCTTTTAGATTGTAAGCCCGCACGGGCAGGGCCCTCATTACCATCTTGTCTTGAATTGTATTGTGATTGTAATGTCTTCCTTATATTGTAAAGCGATGCGCAAACTGTCATCGCTGCCAACTGTCATATATACTGTAATAATTATATACATATATACAGTATATATATTAATACTGTCACTGTATAATGTACTTGTAAGGCCGCTTATAGAAAGTAGGATCCAGTTTTAGGCACCATAGTGTAAAAAACAACATAGGAGTTTTGGAGAGGGTTCAGGGGCTGGCAACTAAAGGAATCAATAAACGAAGGCTAGATAATCTTACTTTTAGTGAACGTTTAGAAAAACTGCACATTTTAAAGTGCGTTTTCTTTGTCAGTCAATCAGATGTAGTTTAAATTGCTTTTACCCTGCACTCCATAAAATGCCAAATACATTCTGATTTGTTACTACAGACAGAACTTCTGTTAAAAAAGAAAGATGATCTAAATGAATAACTCTTAACATGTTACATTATCTGAAGGCTCACCTGTTTGATGCCATACTCAAAGGCCTTTTGTGCTAATCTTCCAGGGCCTTCCACTGTTTTTCCATCATCGTTTGGTCCCCAGCTGGCACTATAAATGTCTACATGCTGGGGATTAAATCCAATGGAACTTGCTTCAATGGCATCAGTAACAACTCCATCTAACATCCGAATCCCTATATTCACAAATGAAAACATTGCATATCAGTGTCTGACACAGAGTTCAAAACAATTTACAGAGAGTTTGACCTTCCCTTTGATGCCCATAATTTTACTCCATCAGTGGCAGTAAGGATCATACTGTCCAATTATGTTATCAAGGAAGGGTATTCATGGTTCATAATTCTCTGTAAAATATCTAAGATATGTTTGGAAAACTAATGCTAATATTAGTGCTTAGCCTGCCTCAATATGATTATGAATATGCTTTGTGAACAAACAAGTGAAAGGTTTGAAGATCCTCAATCAATATTTATTACTATTAAAATCCGCATAGCAGTGTGCATATGGTGCCCTGAATACTCCTCTTGAATAAAATGAATTCTTAATGATTCTAATGGTTCTAATGGTGTGTCAAAGTGTTCCATCTGTATGTGATTTTAGATGTAGAATACAGGCAATGATTAAATATGTAACCACAATGCTGCAAGGAGATTATATCACAACTCCAGAGATTTACTGATTAACTCAATCTGGTTTTTCCAGTAGGCATTTATCACTGCTTGCTTTTACAGTGGGAGACTTATACTGACATGCTTCCCTCGATGCCACCCTCTCATATCTGAGCACTCATACGGTGCCCTGTATAATTGTGTCCAATAGAGAAATAACAGAGTAAAAGATCACTGTGGTGAACACAGATGTTAGACTGACATTTTGTGGATTACTGGATGGCTTTAAATAAAAAGCATAGAGTTTGTAGGGTACAGATCGCCAAAATGCCAATATAAACAAAACTTGGTTCTTTTGACCCTGTGAGTCATTACTGAATCCTGCCAAATCAAACTGGGACACACCATAAAAAAATCACTGTATATTTACAATTTACTTACAATGTGCTTACAATTGTTAGGGGTCTGCTAAGACCATTTTAACATGTTGCAAAGTGTTACTGAAAGCTGATTAAGCTTTAGGCAATAATGGCGCAATAGCTAGTGGATCTTGCTATTGCATAGAGAAGCACTGAAAGTGCAACAGCTGTTTATGGCAGAGAAACGCATCATATGCAATTTAAACCTTGCACGTGATTAAATGTTTGTAGACACATAAGCTTTTGGCAGGATCTTCAATAGCCTTAAGCTGGCCATACACCGGTAGAATTTTTAGTATGACCGTTCATATGAAAAATGTCATCAGAACCATTTGAATTTAACATTCGATTTTGGAATGAATGGAGTTTACCAAACGAAAACCACATACTGTACACAGTTAGAATTTTGTTTGTTAGAGAAAAAACTTTCATCCTGCTCCTTCAACTTTTTACATCACCTGCAGATGAAAATGATCGTCGATTTGACCCCATTAGCTATGAGAAAATTGAACAAACGTTTCTGAAAAACAATTTTTTTCAAATGAAAGTGGCACTGGTGTATGGCCTGCTTTACCCTGTGTACCCCCTGCCATGATGATGAACTGTAAAACGATTCATAATTGTAAAAAGAGAACTTCTTATGCTGTACTTTTACGCTTAGAAAACTGAGCTGAATGCCTATCTTTGGGTAAAAAAAAAACCTCCCTTACAGTCAGGCTACCCGCAAAATAAAGGCGTCACCTGCCTGTTGGTAATATATAGGGGTATGGTAAAGAGGACTTTTACTTGCCTGAGTCCTGCTCTACCAGTGGCCGGTGCTCGCCTCTCTTCCCCCATAAACTGTCCCTCGGCATCCTCCAATATAATAAAGGCCCGTGGACCTTGCATTAGACGTGATGACGTCAGCAGGGCTCTAATCACTTGACCAGAGGGGGAACAGGGTCTGTCGGCGCTGATCTTGGAGCCAGCGGGAGCAGGGATCATATAAGTAAAAGTGATTTACACATGTTTATTTATTATTGGTATTTATATAGCGCTTGCAATTTATACAGCGCTTTACACAGTTCCTGCCCTCAAGGATCTTACAATCTAAGGTCCCTATCTCACATGCATACAAACAAGGGCCAATTTAGACAGAAGCCAATTAACCTACCAGCATGTCTTTGGAGTGTGGGAGGAAACCCACACAAGAAAAGGGAGAACATGCAAACTCCTTGTAGATACTGATATGGCTGGGATTCAAACCAGAGACCCCCAGTGCTACAAGGCGGAAGAGCTAAGCACTACACCACTGTGCTGTCTGACACTTTGTACCCTAGACATAAGCAGGTACAATAAATATAAAAATATATAAAAAAATAAGCAGATAACCCTTATAGCGCAGGGGTAGTCCAACTACAAGGGTAGTTTTTTTTTTTTTTTTAAACTGGGAACAGCTTTAAGGGCTCATGCACACCAAATGCAATTTGAGTTGTCATGGATGGGCACAGTTCACACCAAAGTTGTGTTTGCTGAAAAAAAAGTACTGCATGTAGTACTTTTTGTATGTGGAGCAGGCCGCGATGTGGTACAATAGCATCGCTCCTTCGCTGATATGTCACAAAAAACGGTAAAAACTGGTATATTGCCAATGTAACAGCTAATGCACACCAGCAGCTGTGCATTGTAGCACAGCCGCTGGTGGGAATCTAGTCTAATTTCTGATAAGTTTCACAAACATTCATAGCGACTTCTACATAGAAAGAAATATAAATACATTTAAATATATAACCACAAAATTGAAATGTAATATTACCTCCTACTTTGGCATTAAAAGCAACACCAACTCCACATTTGTTGTTGTTTGCAACCATTGCAACTTCTCCTGCACATCTTGTTCCATGCCTAAAAATGAAGACAGATGATATGCAGCTTAGTCATCCAATTCAATAAAATTATGCATTGAAAGTTACTTAGGAGACGTAACCTAACCACTGAATAGCTCTAGTTTTAGTTATGGAATTTGGCCCTTAGTATGAATATGTGAAAATGCTGGCCAATGTGTTCTCTGGTTCATACACCTCTCTTCAGACCCAATGCAGCCTCACTAATAAGCTGTGTGTGTGGCATGCTCTAAGTCCTCTTGGAATTGCCCTTGGGAAGAAAGCTCTCAGATTAAAGGCATATGAAATTAATTTCCTTACTTTTGGAACGTTCCAGTGTTTCCTGAATATGTGGTTTAAAGGAAGGAGTAGAACATCCGAAGCACTGCTGAGTCACAATTTACAGTTTTACTATACACTATGCTGTAGTTGATCATCTTTATATACAAATATTTCCTGGACAGCACTAGGCAGTTTGCTGATTTATTTTTATCTGTTGCCTGAAGTTGCTCTTGAATAATAAATCACAGCAGAAAATGGCTGCAAATATATTTTCACTGATATCTATTAAATGCTGCTGGGGAATGAATTATAAATGATATATCTCTGCATCTATATCCTGCATGGGATGAAGCAGTACTCAAAAACACATTTCTTATGAAAATCACCATGACATTTACCAGATAAATCTAGCACTCATTCACAAATGCTTTGTGCAACTACCGTTTTTATGGCTTTCCATATATCTGTGAAAGTCATCATTATAGGACATTAGCGCCTATAACTAGGTTGCTTTGTGTCACAGTTTCTGTACTTTTGTGTGACTACTGAAAGGGGTACTTTAAACAATTTCCATTGTAGACATTTCCATAACTTTCTGTCTTGGTGACCACTATCACTGGAAGAGGAAATTAAAGAAAAATCCTTCCAAGGGGGACACAGGCAATAATAAAAACTAGAAAAAACTAAAGTCTGCAACTCCCGAGGCTTGCACACTAAGCCACTATGCTGGCTGTTGTGTGCTCATGTCGGATAGGGGTGTGTCCACGTGCCAAACACTGTCCATGAATCAAAAAGAAAGAAATACGGCACACCATAAAATTCCTTGTGGATAAAACATTATTGTTCCAGGCAAACAAGACTAATCCCCACTTGGAACCTCATCTTTCACCCAATTGTGGGCTTAATCAACATGAGGAGGTGCAGGAGGGGAGAAGTATTAATTCATAAATGGAATTCGCATATGCAAAGTCTCAAAGTGACACTAAACTCAGGAATTAAATCTTATAAATGAATTCAAGTACCCTAACTGTTAACAATACTGTACCTTTTTTGTATATCACTCAGCTCAAGATCATCAAACCATCTGAATTGGTGCTGACACTGTCCTTCCTTCTGGAGGGTGGCTACTTTTGTTCCCCATGGTCACTGTGTGTGTTGTAAAGAAGCCACCGCTCCAAGTTCACTCCTGTGATGGACTACAATGCCATGTTTAGCTTACTGATTTGTATTGAGATTGTAGTCCATCACAGGAGTAAGCTTGGAGTGGTGGCTACTTTACAACACACAAGTACCATGGGGAACAAAAGTAGCCACCATCCAGAAGGAAAGAAAGTGTCAGCATGAATTCAGATATGATTTGAGGATCTAAGTGATTTAAATGATTTAAGGGGTAAATTAACAAAATCCTTTTTGTTTTAATAGTTAAGGTACTTGAATGCATTTTTAAGATTTAAGTTCTGAGTTTAGTGTCACTTTAAAGCAACCCATATCTGTTTGACATAACCTTATAATATTAGATTGTAGCTTATCAGTACATCCCTAGCATCAAATAGTAACACGATAAAACCCTTCCAAAGAAGAGCGGAATAGAAATGCCTGCTAAACCCCATATTTATGATGGACAATCTTTAACTGATGTAAAAAAAATTAAAACATGAATTAAATAAAACATACATAATCTACATTGGACAAGTTTATGAGGAATATTGGGAGATACATTTTCTTTAATGGCCAGAGTTGTAAATAGAATCTCAGTGAATAAGTCATAGAAAAGAAAAACTACAGAAAGAGAAAAAGAAAGGAAAATAAATGAATAAAATGTTTTATCTTTCTAAATCCCCTTGCGTTTCACAATGTTTTTTTTCAGTTTGGCTATAATCAGTTCTGCACAATATACCTTTTAGCGTTTGTAGTCTACCCCACCATATTCCCCTTTTGCTGCTATACTGTTACGCATACAGGAAATAAATTGTTAGTGTAACATTAAGATCCGATTGAGCTGGGGTCATGAAGGCACAAATTAGCACAATGGTGACTTTTTTTTTACAGGTTTTGGATAGCTGAAAACTTTAATAACATTGCATTCACTTATGTGAGCATTTGATGCTTGCACAGTAAACATAGATGTAATTCAGATTATACATAATTGTGGCAGTATGGGGATTAATTTGGGGGGGTCTTGGAAAAGTTTTCTTCTGGTAAATACTTTTTTTATAAGGGCTACATAACTTAACAAACCCGAAAAACAGGGCTTCAAATGACAAATGTTCAAAATAGCATGAATACCTAAAAAAAAACAATTTGCATTTCTATGGTAAGAACAGTCGTATGTATATTTCTAATGTAACAAAATGCTCTTTCAATTTGTCTATTTGTTGAAGAAGAATGCAGAACAACGTAATGAGCGTTTCCATGGATACTCACTTGTTCTCATTTGTAATGTCGTATCTTGGGAACGGATCTTTGTCATTATCATTAAAGTCATAACTTGCTTCTGGATCCTGAAATACAAAGCATCAGGTTAATACAATGTGAAGCATAACCACTAAGTTCTATTGCAATCTTCTCACTGACAAAAAAACAAAAATGAGCCTCCACTTTATCCAATGTATTTTTCTGCCTAGGAATGTGAAAATTAGGGTAACATTTTGTCTCTAGGAGGACTGTATTTTTATTGGCACCTGTTTAAAAAATGCTTAAGGTTACAAGGCGCACCAAACCTGAACAATTATAAACTGATACATTTTCCTCTTTTTGTTTCCTCTAATGGCCACAATTATAAATGTGGGGTTAAAGTGTATGTAAACCCTAAAAATTATCTTTTATTTGCTTCGTTTGGTTTGTTAAATATACAATAGTTAACATTTTGCTATATATGTTCAGTATATATTAAAACAGAAGAAAATGCCTGTTAAAAATCAGTGCATTCCTGTGCACTCTGTAATGTTATCTCTAGCAGTGTTATCTGCCTTGTTCAGATTACCTCTATGCACTACAGAACGCCTCTCCTTATGCTATAGAGATGAGGACTCTGTAGTCCTTACACACTTCTTTGTCCTAGGGTAATGCCAATGCTTCCTCTTAGATACAGTGCAGTAAGTTAGCATGGACATCCTAGGACAGGAAGTATGTTACTGGCAGAATGACCAGGTGGAAATCCAAGAAAAAAGAAAACAAATGCAGTCGCCTCATGCACGGACTGGTAAGCTGTCATATAATACATTTAGTTATTGAACTATAGGGATAAGGTGGGGTGGGGCGGGGTATACTGAGACTCACTACAGTTCAAGAAACTTGAAACGTGTTTATTGTTCTGTAACAGTTAAAAAGTAGCTGTGAATATAAACAAACAGATACCATGCTTCCTCCAAAAACACATACTAGCATAAGGGGTAGGCATAGGTTGTACAAAGGGGTGCCATCATTCTGAAGTGTCCAGTGCAGCATAATGTCTAAATACACTCTTTCATGAAAGGGTCAGTCCATCCAAAACCGACAAGTCAGTTTTTGGAAACTATAGGAGAATAAAACTACTAGAACCACTAGACAGTTTTATTTTTTAGTCTCTTCTTCTATATAAAGGAAAGTGTGACTAAAGATGTGGGCAGGAAAACCTCTGAGGACCTAAACAGAGATAGGAATTATAATAGCCTCAGTAGAGAAATATTGCATGCAGGGAAATTTAAATACAATATATTCTTAGACACACTGGAGTCAGAGGAAAAAAACAGATAGTAACTGATATAAACAAGTATTCTGTTATACATGTGATGCTTTCACAGAAATAGAATTTAAACATACATAATTTGCATAGATATCTGTATGGTTCCATTCCAGCCCATCATCGAGAACTGTTATAACACTGCCTTTTCCAGTTATTCCCTTCCTCCAGACTGGTATGATATGTAAATCCAGCTTTGGCAACGTTGGGTTGACTCTTGTGTCTCTCTGAGAACGTAAGAACAAGAATTAGAATGGGGAATTGAACTTCACAACGTGTACAAAAACCCTGTATGGATGGAAACCTGTCTGTAAAGTTCTCATTTATCCAGGTCATGGTATACGTGTCTCAGCAGCATGTCCGATTAAATGCGAACTGCTGCGGGAGCAAATTGTGAGCCAACTCACCCCAGGGCAAGTGTAAATGGGGCCTTAGTAAATCAGCCTATCTGCAAAGAGACTATGCACTAGTCAAACTAGTATTGGCTGCAGTGAGACTTTCAAACAGTTTATTTAATGGATTATCATAATAGGTATTTCAGTATGCTATAGAAAAGAAGTTATTCACCAAGAAAAACAAAATGGCTAAATCATTCTAAATTTCCTCAGGTGTACTGTGCGCATGGTAAGTGAAATGTGTGGGCATATTCTTTAATAGTTGGCAGAAATGCATTAATTGCTATGCTTACTCTTCAAAATCAGCTAATCTGTTCCAGGAACAGCAGACAGGGTGGGTTACATGATATAGCAATAACTCTTTTATATCAGTGATGTAACCTCAAAGTGTTTAACTACAATGCACAGTACAGCTTAAATATTGAGATTCTTAGTAAAAAAAATGTAAATACAATTGTGTAACTCATCAGTGGGCTTATGGGCAATCTGCTCTTTGAGACATTTGTACATTTGGTTCATTCTCTCATTTTTAATTACCTAGCTTAGTATGAAATATTTATGCAGGCTTTCAAAAGCTTTAACCACCTAAATGCTGAAATTCATGTATCTCCTTGTTCAAATGAACACATTCCTAAGTTTTTTACTGAATCAGTTTTTTTTTTACATGAGGCATGGCATTCCTAGATAATAAATATATTGCAATATTTGCAAAAAGAAGTGCTTTACATAATGAATTCATGACTCGGGCCAATCAGCAATATCACACAGGAAATCCATACCCCTGTGTAAGCTACAACTCAAACTTACACAGGAGTTTCCCTGCACTCCCGTTGGCTGAACGGATCAGCTGGGAGGGAAAGGAAGGTAATTATATGCCGCTGGGGAGAGCTGAGTTAAAGTTAACCGGTCGACATGTTTGCTGTAGGAAAAATAACTATGGCTTGCTGTAGGAAAATGGAATGGCTTTGAAATGGCTTCAAAACAACACTTACCAAATACCACTGACTTTTCCACATAGGATCGTTAAAAAGGTTTTCTGAGTCTGTCTTCATCACATAGCCTCTCTTTGTCCTTTGCTTGATATACTGCTGTTCTGCCCACGAAACCTGAAATTTACAACAAATGCAAAATTCATGAGGATATACTCTCTAAAACCACTGCACATTTTCCAACTGTCTTCATAAGGGGAAGTGGTTTCCTTGCCTAGGTGGTTCTGCCAATGGCCATACACATAGCTGATATACCTATATATAAACTGTTTTACCTACCAGCCAATCTTGTTATGTAGGCACCGATGCCAGATAGCATAGTCACTTTGGTGACTTTGGTGACCTCAACTTTCTCTACTATCGTTAGGCAGTGTTGTCACCATGCTTCTCCCCAGCTTTGGACTAGATAATGAAGGAGAAGCAGTACACTGACAAGGTCATAATTCTGCACAGTTTTCTACATAATTAGCAAAGGGCTATTCCATGCAAGAACTATAATTGGGCTACCCACATTCAATCCATGCTCAAATACAAACACTTATTCACTGTATATAGATAGATGCAGGTAAAAAACAGTTTCTGTGATGCCTGAAGATTCTCTTGGCTCATAATATTCAGTTGGGGTCAGACATTGAACATCCCCTCAACTTTTTGTCAAAATGGTATCAAGAGGAAATAAAAGGAGAAATAATATGCATGTCTTAATGCTAGTCAGGCAGGAATTTATTATGGTGCTTGTTGCCCAACAACAATGATGTTACATACCCTGTTCAAGGTCAGAGCATGAGAAAGAATGCCTTTCATATCTCACTGGTCCTGAAGGGCCCCTACATCCCAGAAGTCCCTTGTACAGCTGCACATTCTGTACAAATGCTGTGTCCACCCTTATTCTGCTATGTTCTCCTGTAACTATGTTTTAATAGTTAATTATGCAAAGCAGTGGTCTCTCAGTGGGTGCTGCTGTGCAGGGGATTACAGGAGGCTGATGCTAGGACATATTTATGTATTTAACCAAGCCTTCAATTCAGCCAAAAAGCCTCCAGTCAGCATTATTTTTAGTTCTAGATAGACTGGTAACTTGTCAGGATCGTATTTCCATCTCTGATCCCATTGGACAGGTTTATCCTTACTTCCTGTCCCATATAAAAATAGTTGGGGTGCAGGCATCACAGGAAAGGAAGGCATAGTCAGCAATTTCCAACAACATTGTCTGAATTTTAACCCAATCCCCACTACTAAAAATGTGTTTTTGTTTTTGTCTGTATTGCCTATATGTTGGACACAGATGGCAATAAAACCTGACTAAAGCTCTGACTTCTCTCTATTCTATCCAAGACAAAGCTAGTGGTTAGCACTTCTGCCTTGCAACACTAGGGTCGCCAGTTTGTATACTGGTCAGGACACTATCTGCAAGGAGTTTGCAATGTTCTGCCTGTGCTTGTGTGGGTTTCCTCCGGGTACTCTGGTTTCCTCCGACACTCCAAACACATACTGGAAGGTTAATTGGCCCCTGTCTAAATTGGCCCTTGTATGTGTGTGCAATAGGGACCTTAGATTGTAAGCTCCTTGAGGGCAGGGACTAATGTGAGTGTGCAGTATGTAAAGCGCTACGTAAATTGTCGGCACTGTATAAATACCTGTAATAAACAAGAAAGTTTGGATGAAGCTGGGCTTTAAGCTCTTATGACCAATGTGACAGTTACAAATAATAACCACCCTCCTACTAGCCAACATCTGTAACATTGTTAATATTGCTGTGAATTACCCGATCATCATCAGATAACCGCTTTGTAATGTGTGGAGCACTTCTCCGCATTCTCCTGGGGTGTTCCCTATGTCTGAATAGAAAATGATTTTGAAGTGATCCAATCTGTAAGAATAAAAATCGTGCAAAAAAAAATAAGAAAATCATAGTACTTTAAATATATATATATATATATATATATATATCTCAAAACAGGCAGTTTTCATATAAATGTAAGCATCATCCAAGAATCAATGCCAATTTCCTTTTTCTACATATACAATAATTCAGCACATACATATTTTCCTGTAATTACTATGACTTACATATGTATATAGATATACTGTATATTATAGTCTCTGTGGTAATTAAGCTGAAAACACACATACTGGCTTGTGAATGTTGGTACAATATAATAAGCTATAGCACATTGGCTGCTTTATGTAGCCTCTGTCCTTGTTCGTGAGCGTGGTTTTATTGCATTACTAGCTGCAGGCAGGGAACTCTCATTAATTATAGAATATGTTATCTCTGCACAGAGTCATATCACCCTTGTAGTAACATAAAGCCAGTTACTCATTCCTAGTTACGGTGACGTCATGGTTTTATGAGAGACATTTCATGGAAAAGTAAATTTCTACACAAATTATTTTTGCCATTAATGCTCTTTGACTCATGCTGTGTCAAAAATAAAAAAACAGTTCAAACTGTCATTGCACTTTTCTTTTACTGGTACTGGTAGATCACGCTTTAACTGACGCAAAATGTAAGCTTGTTGACTAAAAAATTTGCTGCTGGCATAAAAGGTTTTTCCAAGCCTCAAAAAGTAATGATTTGCTATGTTAAGGGGGACATCTGTAATTGTTAATTGTGCCTAAGCAGCATGCTGAAACATGTATCCTTTGTCTGAAATTGTTCCTGAAAAATAGCAGTGCTCTTCCTGGTATGTGAGGGGGCCTATGCATACAACCTTATAGCTGTATAGCTGTTAGATCTAAGGCACTGCTGAGCCTGGCTGCTATTTTCAAGAGATCTGGATTGAGATGTGGTGATGCCTCTATTGTGCTGCTCTCCATTCTCCCTGATGGAGGCTCTGATATGAGGAAGCAAAGCAATGCCTACATCAAGATGGTCACCTCCATATAGATAGAGACACAGCACAGAACAAGGCATGATAAGTTAGTAATGGGGAAAAGATCAGCTGCAGGGAGACCATATGCAATACCGGTAACTATTCATTGTTGCTGTCTTTTTGTGGGCACAGCTCCCAGTGTTCAGTTGCTCTTTAATGCTATGAAACCTAACAAATGTATGCATTTATTTAATAACACATTTTGCAGAGGACCTAACTGTGCAAGCTGTAACCCAAAAGGCAAGTAGTGGGCAAAGGACAAGTCAACAGTACTGCCTATAGGCTCCCTGTAGTTTGTTCCCCAAAACTGACTTACCATGCCTTGTTCTGCACTATGTTCGTGTGTGGAAGTTTCTTTATGTAGTGGCAACCATGTTGGTTGCTTCCTCATGTCAGAGTTGCCTCCCTAATGACTGGTTATCTGATGGTGGGGGAATATTTAAGGAGCATCAGGAAAGGTATAGGAAGCATGGATCCACAGAATGAATTATGTATGAGCAGGAAGATGCTTGCACTACAGATCCCCAGGTACAAAATACCTCTCCAGCAAGCATCACAGTAGTGACATCACCATATCTCACTCCAAATATCAGACAGAGGTAGCAGTGCCTCTATCACTGCATATACAGTATACAGCTATGAGGCTGTAGGCACTGGAGTGCCTAGGCACCCTCACATACCAAGAAGTGCCGTGCTATTTTTCGGAAAAAAATTAAAGTGACATTAAACTCAGGAGTTAAATCTTAACAATGCATTCAAGTATCCTAAATATTAACAAAAATGTATCCTATTTCTGAATCACTTCAAATCATCTCTGAATTAGTGCTGACACTGTTCTTCCTTCTGGAGGGTGACTACTTTTGTTCCCTATGGTCCCTGTGTGTGTTGTAAAGTAGCCACCGCTCCAAGCTCACTCCCATGATGGACTACAATCTCAAAACAAATGAGTAAACTAAACATGAGATTGTAGTCCATCACAGAAGCACGCTTGGAGTGGTGGCACTAGCTACTTTACAACTATTTTCCTTTACTAATTCAGAGATGATTTGAGGATCTACAGCTGAGTGATGCATAAATAAGATACATTTTTGTTAATAGTTAGGGTACTTGAATGCACTTTTATGGTTTAACTCCTGAGTTTAGTGTCACTTTAGGTCAAAGGTTAGGTAAGGTAAGTTTGTCAGGGTGCTGTTTAAGCACAATTTACATTTATAAGTATCCCCTATAACATGTAGTAAAAATCTTCACTTTTAAATTGAGGTCCATTTTAAGTGGAAAGTTAAAAAGCATACCCATAGCAACATCTTGTACCAGACTGACTTCAGTAAAGTGAATTCTTATTGGTTGCTATAGATTAACACATTTTACACTTATTTTTTTGCTCCTTGTGCTATTTACTGAATTAGGCTGAAAGTATCCTTCATTTGTGTTAAACGTACGGGCTTTTGCAATGTAAAGTTTAAAAAAACATACCTCTTTTTTTCAGTTACACCACTTGAAGCACATGCCGAAAAATAATTATTTGGGTGAAGGAGATTTAAGTTGTAGTTTAGTACCTATATGATCTAAAAAAGGGTCTTTTTTTGTTGGACAACACTGTGTCAAGTGATACATTGACTTCATGAATAGGGATGAATTAGTGCAGACTCTGTGGAGCAATGAGCAAAGTTCACATAAATATCATCTGTCTTTCAGTAGCAGTACATACCCCACTCAGTGTTTGTATTTGCAAAAGAAAGCAAACAGAGGAGACTAGAATTATCGCATAGGCAGCACAAAGGAAAAGGAGGTGGAATGTATGTTCATGAAAGCTTCATAATGGAAAAGCAAAGAAATTATTCAGCCTTGACCCTGAAATCAAGATGTAGACTATTAAACAAGCCTGCTGTATTACTGTGGATAGAAAATCACTAAATCATGATTGTATTAAAGAGATATCAAACTCATAGCACTACCTGTAATCATGCCTTGTGTCATTACTGTTACATGTACCCTTTCTTAACCTGGTTATACTTATACAAAAGGCCAATTGAGAGTTGCTTGTTTGTTATGAATTTCATAATAGTATCTTTACCTTATTACAGCCTAGCGTTACCTATCAACGGGTCTAAAGGAAGAACTGTCATTGCTTGTCATAGCAACAAATTTTTAGCAGTATGGAAGTTAGCATGCAATAATCGCATGGCAGATAGCAGCAGGAATTGGTGGTTTTGCACAATGACTGCATTAATATACAATAGTTTCAACCTATTGTGCCAGGAGAGGAAGGGGGATTATAACATTTGCCCTAATACAAATTACTAAGAATTAATGATAATTCTGAGCCATCAATACTGGATCACTCCATCCACAATGCCCTAGAAACCAGTGCGAGTAAACATTTTAAGTTAAAAAGTATTAAATAACATGTATTCTTTGCACAAAACACGGGAAGCACAGCCTACACTTGCAGTATTTCTGTTTTTTATTTCAGCAGAACTGTGGTGCACCGTCCACCCCACTTGTCGACTTTTTCACCACTTGTACTCACTCTCTGTACCTCTTGATTCTACCACTACACACTGCCCCTGATAACTGATGAGTTTTCCTCCCTTTGTTGTTAGTATATGCTGTAGTTGTTGCTTACAAAGCAGCCACAGCCATAGTAGAAAAGATTGTCTTATGCCTGGATGCTGCAAAGAAGGACACTTGTTCTCTGTGGGGAAGCAGTGGATTTTTGCAGAGGTCTAACACAGGGGAGCCTCGGTTAAAGCCCTCCAATCAACGGGGTAGCTAAACCCCTAAAACAAAAATGTTATATAATGCATATTGAAAATGAGGTGTTGTTGAAATATCTAAATATTGAACATTGTTAATTTGTCTCTTCTTATTGCAACAAAATAACAAATATGAAGTCTAGGGTTATGTACCTGAAAAACATCGGGCTTGTTTACTAAAGGAGTAGAGACTGCTCACTTACCAAAGTGAATTATCACTTTGCCTATATATTTAGCTTTGTAATCATGGAGAAGCTGTGTTCACTTACCTGATAAAGTACAAGGGTAATTAAGGGGTAATATATTTTATGAAGTAACCATGCTCTATTCCTTTAGTAAATTTACCCCATTGTTTATTTGCCTGTGCTCTGCACTACTGCATGCTGACTGAGAGCACACATACAGAGCAGAACAGGTAAGGATCCATATTCATGGGAAGATCTTTTTGTAAGAGTTTTATATTCTTGGTTTACCCTTGCTCAGTTTATTTTTACAAAGAGATTGCTTTTTTTTTTTTTTACTGATGGGCAATTCTGTGCAGGTTAATTCACCAAGGGTCTGGCATATCTTGTTTGAAATTTTACAAATCTTAGTGGTGAATCTCATTATGGTCTTGATAAGGCTTGGTGAATCTTGGTAAATTCTTCCCATTTGTTTGGGCTAATAGGCAAACTACTGTAAAACAAAAGGCATTGGAAGCTGGGCACTGCCATGGGGTACATGTGCCAATGCAAAAAAAAATTAAAAACAATATACCCCCAAAACAAATAGGAACCTGCAAAATATTGCACCCACTGAAACAAAAGTCTGTTTTTAAAGGAAGCCGTGTAGCAAAAACTAAATTTTGGTATGGACAGGACAGCAGCTACAAGTATCCACTGACCACAAAATAAAAAGAAACCTAAAAAAACCCCAATAATAAGACCAAAGCAAGCAGAGCATGTTACCCAATGAGTTAGCATTCACAATTAAAGTACAATTTCCTATAGTGCTCAGACGGGCAATCTGACCAGGTTTGCTTGTCAGATTTTCAGACGGTTCTGATTGAAAAGCCAATGTTAGTCTATAGGCAGCCGGATCTAAATGGATGTGCATTTGTTTACATCTGATTACCCCCAAAAGGAACCAAAGCCATAAAGGGACTAGAGTTCTATATTGGCAAACTTGATTGTGATGGTTGGGAGTAATCTGATACATGGATCCCCTGCTGATCGGAACTGACAGCACCCATGTAAAAA